TAAAAAATCCTCAACTATTTAATATTTGCCAGTTTCTTACCTGAACTTTTTGCGTTGCCAGAAACCTACATAAACTTAATTTTTGGATCAAAAAACTACCTGAAATATTTTATAGTTCCAATTTTCACTCCACGATTTCACAGCCGTTAACGGTCAAACGGAAATAGTAAACTCTGTTATTTTTCAAAACAAGAAAAAGCTGAAAAAACCTTTAACTATTTAATCTTTGCCTAAAAAATACCTTAACTTTTATCAGAAATCCACATTAGCTAATTTTTGTTTTTGTTTTTTTAACATTAAATGACACTTAAAAGCCAACCTATCAAAGAGTTTACAACAACTAAAAAAAAGTTATCACCAATAGAATTCGAAATAAATTACGACATATTTTTTTTGAAATTACGATATAATTATGACTAAAGATTATGTAGATGTGTGCTTCATTTTTGTTTTTGAGCTGATTTAATCTCCACTAAGATGATCTTCGTAGATGATTAAAAATATCTATCATACTTTATTTCATTTGATCACCTACTAATTTATATTTATTACTCTATTATGAGCCACTGAGATCATTGTTCCAAAGAGTTGATTAGTTAAAAGCTTATATTCAAATCGCCTTTCAGAATAGATGTGGTCTACGATGAGAAATAAACCAATACCAAATGAATAACCATCAGCGAATGAATCTGGGGAGAACCATTAATGGATGTGAAGTAGTGGGGTAGAAGCTGAAACCATATAATATTTCATGTTTTTTGACATTGAAAAATTAGTTTGTGTGGGTTTTTGGCAACATTAAAAGTTCAGATATTTTTTGGCAAAGATTAAATAGTTGAAATTTTTTTTAGTTTTTTCTTGTTTTGGAAAATAACGGAGTTTACTAGTTCCGTTTGATCGTTAACGGCCGTGAAATCGTGTGGTGAAAACTGGAACTATAAACTATTTCAAGTAGGTTTTTGATCCAAAAAATTAGTTCGTGTAAGTTTCTGGCAACGCAAAAAGTTCAGGTAGAAAACTGGCAAATATTAAATAATTGAGAGTTTTTAAAGCTTTTTTCCCTGAGAACTTTTTATTTAATTTGCAGCTATCCAAAAAAGCTTGATGGGAAGACGATGTATTTTTTAGGATAAAATTATAATGTTAATCATTTAGATTCTGTTTTTTTTTTCTGTTTTATGGTAACTTATTATGCTATAATTTCTCGATATAATTATTTCTGTTCGATTATCTTTTTTGTTATACCTATTATTTTAAAAATCAAATGATCACATACATATAATTACAATTTATGTTCAATTAATATATTGTACGTTAACGTATATAAAACAAGTGTTCATAACTGCACTACAAAGCGTATGCATGCTACGGAATAAACAGTCATAACGTCAGCTTTTTAACTTGTCAATATTAATGAGTTGTCTCGGTAATCGATTAGGGTGCAATAGTAATGAAACCATATAATAAATTGAATAAATATGATTTATTATATGATGACGATAATAACCTGTAATTATAAGTATACATATGCATTAATTTTGTTATATATATTTGATATTCTTTGATAATATATAAAAATATAATGTATATGTTACTTATTTTTGTTGTTGTTTAACTATAACAACTTTGTCTGTTCCTTTTATTTATTAATTACTAAAAAATATATAGTAAAATACATTCTGTCACTGATGCTACATATGTGAGATACTAGACACTTTATTTTTCTGCATGGTAATCATTACACTAGAGATCAATGCATTTTATATTTCAATTTAAGATAACAAATATAATAAATGAATCGTCGCCATTTAATATAATTTCATATTGTTAGGTGTCAAACGGTTATTTTATAAGATAGAAACTAAAAACTGTAATCATAAACTACTTTTTCACTCCTAACATATGATAATGAACTAAGTCTTATTTTATTTCAGTTATCCGAGTGATTTTTATTCGATATCTAAAATGTATAACCAATAATTATACTACTAACTCTTATGTATTAAATGTGAAAATGAATTTTCGCTCCTGTATGAAATATAAATTCTATATCATGTAAGATACTTTCAGTCCTAACATAGGAAAACGAAGATTTATGTATATATTTTGGAATATGAATCTCAAAAAAAAAATAGTCATAAATGAATACAATATAGAAAAGTATGTTGCATTCAATGTATATAAACGTCATTAGTTGCTACGATAGGTGTAATCATTATTTTTGTTGTTTAACAAGAAAACCAAACATCTGCCAAAATTAATTAGAAGAGGTTATCCTTTTCATTTTTGACGACGGTTCCACTTTATTTGTATTCTATTTCAGAGACTATTGCTTAACAGAACAAACAATTCCAAAACACAAACTTCTCGAATTATGTCTTACCATGACTTAGTTAGTAAGCTTACGCCATGGGAAGAAAATCCGGTGATACGTGTTGTTATTTACAAAAAATGGATTGAGAAAGACAGTCGTGGTCGTGATCGTGTCGAATTCATATTTGCCGACGAAGAGGTAAATAAGTTTATGCTAGATGAATTTTTGGTGCATGCAAGTAAATTGCCCTAATAGTTTTTGTATATTACAATATGTAATCATTCTAGGGCTGTAAAATTCATGCGTCTGCTCATAACTGGATCCATGAATATTTCAAGAATGTATGTCACGAAGGAGAATGGTTCGAAATTTGCAATTTTATTGTCAGATCTTCAGACTGGAACAATTGGAAAGAACGCTCAACTAAACATCCTTACAATATCCTTCTTACTCGAGATACCACAATTGAATTTATACGCGATGAGCCGGTATCTAATTGGTATTTCTTGAATTTAATCAAATTCGGAGATATTGTGAAGAGAAAAGTGGATCCTGTGTTTCCTATTGGTAATATTTTATTTTCATTATTGATTTATTTAGTTTATTTGTTCTTAATAATAATTAGTCCATTATATGTTAGGAAATCATAATATTATTTTAACTTCTATTCTTTTTTTTTTTAAATAGACTTGGTTGGTGTGATCGATTTTGTTGGTGAAATATCCATTGGCAATGACTTTGACTCCATTTCAAGAATCCAGCCAAAAAAAGTTCTTGAATTTCATATAAGAGATCTCGAGTAAGTGTATTTTCTATATGTTATGCAAATTCATTTTATATGTATTTTTCATTGGTGTTATGTTTTCTTTTAAATTTAGGGATGTTGTTATCAAATGTTTTGCCTTTGATAACTGCACAATTTGTTTTGATAATTCATGGAAATCGAGAAAGACTGATCGCATTTTCGTTCTGTTAACTGAGTGGAGACTTGATCTCTATAAAGGTTAGATACTTTATGTATAATTATTATTTAATTTGGTATCTGAACTTCTACCAAAGTATATAACGGTGTCAAATGCTACAATTATATTTTCTTTGTAGGTGAACACATTGTCAGAAATGGAGGAGGTCAGTCTCGATTTCTTTTCAACCCAGAGATAACTGAAGTTCAAGAGTTTGCGTGCGTACATGTAAGCTGTTTTATCTTTATTTTTAAATGAAATCATAATTTATAGTTGCTGACTATTTATATTTAGGGGTTTTTGCTAAAAATAACCCAAAACTTGACTTTGAATACAAAAGTAGACCCCTGAAAAAACATTTGGCAGAAATAACCTAAAGGGGTAGTGAAAAGACCATTTAATCCTGTATGAGTAAACAAAAAACGGATGTCCTAATTACCGTTTACTTCCTGACGAAGTCTACTAAAGTGAAAATGAAGTCTATTAGTAGACTTCATTTTATCGAAAGTCTACTAAGTAATTAAATCTGTAAATTTAATTTTAAAATTTTTAAAAAATTATTTTGGTATCAATTTACCATCATAAATTCCGTAATCGTAACCCAAATGTACAGAAATTATTTTTTCATATTGGTAAATAGAAATGTATGTTTTTAAATTAAGTAGAAGTAAATTTATTGTTTAGGTTTAAAAAGTTGTAGACTTCTATATTGAAGTCTACTAAACCAAATAAATTAACCTAACAGAAATTTAAACCGAAATTAAACCGGGAATAACTTCTCTTAACCAAGAAAAACTGCCTTTAACCGGGTAAATTTACCTAGACCCCGGAAAATTAATAACCTTAACCGAAAAAAACTTACCCGAACCGTACGGAATTACCAGACTATATATACGAATTTAACAGATCCCGTTAAAAAAAAACCGTCGAAAGTTCGTGTAAAAAAAAGTCGAAGGCGATTTCTGTTTCTTTGCTCCGGCGCCGCCGACATACAGAACCGCCGCCGACATACAGAACCACCGCCGATAAATTCGTTCAGGCAAGTTTTCTTTCTCCAACCACACCCCCATGCTTCCCTACTCCTCCGTATTCATCACCTTTTCTGTTTTCGTAACCCCCAGTTTCCAGATCTGAAATTAGGTTTTTTTTTTTTTTTGCAGATCTGCTTTCCCCGTTGGAGGTTAACGTCATTTCCTGCCTCAAAACGGTTAGTAGATGTTGTTCCGAAGTTATATACTTAGCAATTCTTAAATTTCTTCTATCTTCCTATAATTTTTCCCAGATCTGGTTGTATTTTCTCGACGCCAGCTTCATCTAATAAAGGCAGTTAACACTATAAACTTTGTAGATTCCATTTCAATGATTTGTTTTAGTAGACTTCATATACAGTATTTTTCATGTATTGATTGCTTCGGTTGGGTTCTGTAGACTTCTCGACTCGGATTGTACTTAGAATGTGAAAGTAGACTTCATTTTGTGAAAGTAGACTCCATTTTGTGAAAGTAGACTTCATTTTGTGAAAGTAGACTTCTTTTTGTGAAAGTAGACTTCATTTTGGGAAAGTAGACTTCATTTTGATAAAGTAAACTTCATTTTGATAAAGTAAACTTCATTTTGATAAAGTAGACTTCATTTTGAAAATGTAGACTTCATTCGTGTATAGTTTCAAACCGTTTTTCTCATTAGAGCTTTGTTACCGTTGATGCAGGAATCTTTGTTAGATAATGGTGGCCTCTGAATTCCCTAGAAGACTTTACACCAAAAGGTTTGAGCCAGCCCCGGATAAAAGCATCGGCTATTATGCTGATGATTATAGGCTGGTCCCTGCACTAAAGTCATCTCTACAAGAGGATGAATGGGAAGAGATTTACGAGTCACCGTTGGGTGTCTTTTTAAAGTTCCACGACTTGGATTTTGGTTGGGCTTCTAGGCTGGTGCACCACATGCTGACCTTTCAGATAGTTTGCAAGCAGAGGTACGAGATATGGAGCCTGATTGGTACCACTCCAGTTCGGTTTTCATTGCATGAGTTTGAGGAGATCACCGGACTCAACTGCGGGTACGTGGATGACTTGGCTTTAACTGATCTTGCGCTTGTCGATGACATGCGTGCATTTTGGGAGCTAATAGGGGTCGATGCCGAGTCGGGCCCAAGCACTACCGAAATTATCGAAGCCTGTTCCAACTGCTCATCATGATCTCGGGATGATAGGCTGCGGTTGGGTTATCTTGGGATCTACGCTGGTTTCATAGTGGCAACGAGACCTGGCTCATCCACAAATGTCAACCATGCCAGACTAGTGATGGATCTCGAAGGTTTTAAGGAGTTTCCATGGGGAAGAATTGCTTTTCAGCATTTGATCAAGTCTGTTAAGGAGAAAGATCTCAGCAAAAACATTCATATAGAAGGATTTGTGCAAGCTCTTCAAGTGTGGGTGTACTATGCTCTACCGGATTTTGCTGCTGAATTTGGCGAACTTTGCCAAATGTTACTGAAGAACCTCTTTTTCTGGCTTACAAAGGATCAAGAGGACGAAAGAACGTCAAAGCCAACATGCTAAAACAGGTACTGTATTAGTGTAGTAGACTTCTATGTAGTAATGAATTTTCAAAGTAGACTTCAGAAGTAGACTTCATGTGTAGACTTCTATATGTACCATTAATAGTGTTTGACATTCAGGAGTAGACTTCTGTGTTAGACTTCAAGAGTAGACTTCTATGTTAGACTTCAGGAGTAGACTTCATACGTAGTTTTCCGAGGCTTCATATGGCTAGTAATCCATTTACTTATTGTGTTTTTCCAGGCTCGCATACAGTCCTGCGTGGCTAAGGACTTGGCGGATATGTTTCCCGTGTGGGATGATGACGAACAGGATCCAGATATTGTCAAGATTGTCAATGCACTCCATGACCCCAATTTCAAGTTCTCAAAAAACCATTGGCCTTTGGAAGGTGTTTTGGGTGCACACATCGTCAAGTCAGAAGCTGGAAAGAGGAGCCTTCCCTCAGATGAATCAAGTCGCAAGAGACCCTGCACAGCCTCTGCCTCTGCCGCATCATTCGTTGGTGATGAAGGGGTCGGAGTTGTTGCTACTATGAAAGCGCACTTCGACCAATGCTTCCAAAGCTTTTCAACCAAGATGCTGAATGGTCTTGGTAGCTGTGAAAAGCAGATCAAACGTCTCACCGGGAAGTTTGAATCTGTAGAGCGTGCGGTAGAAGAGTTGACTACAGGGTTGGCGAAGCACACTGAGGAAGAGCCAACCCAGCAGTAGGGCACTGGATCCAAGAAGCATGAAGGGGTTAGTACCAAAAACCCTCCGCCTATACGAAAACATTACATGCAAACAAGATCACACAAAGTTAGGAACACTTAATACTAATGTCATTTGAATTTGAACATGTTTACTAGTGTTATGTAACATGTGAGATTATTTACTTATGTTTTCAAAACTAGTTGTTTACAATTTTCAGACTATGATAAAACATGATACTAAATTACAGCATTGGTGTGCTCATTTGTATATTCATGCCTGTTTCTGACAATAAACTGCAGAGTAATTCAGAGAAAGATGATGCTCCAATGAAAGATAATGTCAACATTGGTGCATGTGAGAGTGTTAACGCCCCCAGGGATGCAAAAGGAAAGAAGGCTGCCGTGAAGGAAGAAGAGGCCCCAGAGATGAAGGAAGAAGAGGCCCCAGAGCCTAGTTTTTGTGAAATTGACCCGAAGACGTGTGATGTTGACTTCGACGCGGTTGCACTAGCCAAAAATGCCAAAGCCAGAGAAGCGGCTCAGATAGTTGCCTGAGCAACGAGTGCCAGACACCGCCAGCTGGCTGCGACACAGAAGAGTCCGTTCTTAGGAAACAGCACCGCAAAGGCCATCATTCCATCGTCGGCATCTCACTCCGGTCGTGTCCGTGGATATGATCCTTTTGATCAAACCGGTGTCAAGGTGAAGCATATCACTTTAATGAACTTTATCAGATCAAACCCGTAAGTAGACTTCTATACGTATGTAAGTAGACTTCCTCATAGTATTATTCACTACAAGAAAGATCGGGTTTTACGTCGGCATATATCGACGTAAAATCGACGTAAAAGAGAATTTACGTCGAATTAACGACGAAAAAAAAATCGTCGTAAAACAATCGTCGTAAAACCGAAATCGTCGTAAAATCGTCGTAAAATTACCAACTCCGGAAAATCGTCGTAAAATCGTCGGAAACTATTCGTCGTAAATGCGACGTAAAATTTCTAACGGAAGTACAACGAAAGAACTCCATCATAAAAACGACGTAAAATCGATGTAAAATTACATCGATTTTACAACGATTAGGAGACGAACAATTTCAATTAAGGGAAACTAATTTTTTAATTGTCGATGTTAAATCGTCGTAAATTTTCGACGTAAATCCGACGTAAACTTATTCGACGTAAATTCGTCGTTAAATATTCGACGTTAGATCGACGTAAATTTACGACGAATTTACGTCGATTTTTAAATTAATTATTTAATTCGATTTTAATTTAATTAATGAATTTTGAAAATAATAAAAAAATTAAAAATAGAAAAAAACAATTTAAATTGAAATTTAAATTCAAAAATAATTTATAAATAAAAAAAATTTAATACAAATTGTTTTTTACAAAAAAACCTAATCTACAATGTGATTTCGTAATCGTCGAGGTTCAGATCGACGTCACGAGGAGGCTCTCCGTCTTGGTCGCCCGTCGCTGCTGGGCCGCCGTTTCCCGTCTGCACTACCGGAGCCGAAGACTGACCGTCCTGCGTCTGCTGGTCCGATGGTCCAGTACCGGAAGTACCACCGGTCTCAAAAACCCTTCGTGCTCGCTGTTGCCTCGCTCGGATTGCGGTGGCCAACAGCGGAACCGCTTCCGCAACGATGTCGAAGAGATCATGTATCTCGGTGAGCTCCTGCTTCTGGGCTACTTGCTCATGCCTGAGAGTGGTGATCTCAGCATTGGCTGTAGCAAGCTCCTGGCGAAGCTGACTCGGATCCTCCTGCGTGCGGAATCCGGAAGCCGAGGCGGCAGGACAGTCTCTAATAGAGCCCATCCCTAAGGTTCGGCCCTTCTTCTTCGGAGCAACCTACAAATGGAAAATAAAAACGTTAATTATTTATTAAGTAATAAATATAATAAATTTTTAAAAAATTGAAATAGATCATACCTCTTCGAAAATCTGGTTTTGCTCAGCGACGGTCAACGGTACTTGGATAGTACCGTCAGGTGTGGCCTGGGTCTCCCGCTCGGCGATCCGCTGCATAGCGGCATTGTAGATCTCCTCGGACCGAGCGTCGACAAAGCTCCCGTCCCTCTTCCGGTGAGTGGTCTCGAAGAGCTTCGTCATTGGAGGTAGTTCTCCTCCGTTCTCCTCGGCCTACGAATTAGTAAACATAAGTCAAAAATATTTAATAAATTATAGCAATAAATAAAATTAAATTAAAATAATAATTACTTACCATCATGAGACGTCTTCCCGCAAAAGATATTTGGCCAGAAGTGTGTGGGGTCACTAACTTCTCACCAGTCACCGGATCGACCCGGTTTCGGACGGCCGAACACTTAGCAGCGGTGGTTTGGGCATGCGGGTCCAGCCAGTACGCCTTCAACCCGTTCCAACAGGTAGTGGACATGGAGCTCGGCTTTGCGTCGTCGCCGTCGGTCTCCCATTTCCGCTTCCAATCGGAAACGGTGTTGACTAGGCGTTTCTGCGCCTTCAGCCGGAAAGCTTCGCGGACCGTCTCGTTGATCCCGATGTCCCAGTTCCACCGTTGCTGCAAAAGAAAACAAAAAATTAGATAAATAATATAAAAGTAAGATTAATTGAATTTTATTACAATTTAAAATGATATAAATAATATTTAAAAAATATTACCGCAAAGCACTTGTACCAGGTGTCGAACGTCTCTTGCGACACCTTGCTCCAATTGTAGTGCGGCTCCACGAAATGACTCTTAATTGTGTCGGAAATGCTCCGACCGACACAATTATCCAAATCAAACCTATGAAACAAAAAAAAATTTATTACATTAATATTAAGTAAATTAAAGCATTAATTTAAAAAAATATAAAAAACTAAAAAGTTTACTTACCAATAAGAGCCTGGTTCCGCTTTTCCGGGAACCAGACGTCGTAAACCCCCCGTCCCGGTAGGGCTAGTAAATCCTCAACCGTAAACTGGGCATACGGATGAGGAGGGGCGGGTACCGGTTCGGCAGCCGGCGGTGGAGGTGGTGGTGGAGGCGGTGGTGGAGACGGCTCCGCGGTATTCGGAACCTGGGAGGCTCCGGAAGATGAAGGGACATCGGTCCCGGTGTTTCCCGAGGCAGACGCCCGAGAAGAGTGTCCGTCCGCCATGAAATTGATGTAATGCGTCCTCCGTCGAGTCATCGTCTGCAAAACCGATAAAATTTTATTTTTCAAGTTAATTACAATTAATTTTTAATTACGATCCTAAATCTAAGAAATTCCGATCCTAAATCTAACAAATTCCGAGTCTAAACTAATTCCCGACCTAAACCGTTTGAATTTCTAAACTATTTAATAATAAAATAATTTAAAGTAATTAAAAAAAAAATAATTACCTTTTTTTTGCGTCAAAAAGAGGAGGAATGCAAGAGAGGAGGAAGCAGAGAGAGAGGAAGGAGAGATGAGCGACGAAATGAGGAAGGGGTGAGGTCCTATATATAAAATTTATATTCGTCGTAAATTCGACGTAACGATTACGACGAATATACGACGAATCCGTCGTAAATTCGTCGCAAAGGTCCCACCGTATAACAAAGCGATGATTTTACGATGATCCGTGTTATTCGTCGTAAAATCATCGTAATGTTACGACGATTTTACGACGAATCGTATAAATCATAAAATTTAAGACGGCTGTGTATCCACAAATCGTCGTAAATTCGTCGTAATATTACGACGAATTTACGACGAATTATACCAAAACTGATGAAATTCAAAAATTGAAACATCCATAAGCACATACAAGTATGTCTATTCATGATAAATGTGGTCTGTATAACTTTCTAGCATGTTTACATTACTAGTAACATGTAAGATAAATCCATACATGTATAAATGTATATAACACCTTAAGATTACTTGATAAACACATATATGTCAAATTTTGAAATTTTTTTTTTTTTTGTTTAGAAAGTTGTTTTACCTAATGAGATGGTAAGCCATTTCATTCTCTTCATCAGAATCCCCCTGAACCCCATAAAAGATTGATTATAAGACGGTTACATTTCGTCGTAATCTCGATGGTATATTACGACGAATTGACGACGATCTCTCCGATTCGTCGTAAGGTCGTCGGGATAAATACCACATTTCTACTGGTTCCTGAACCTTATACTACAAAACCTTATATAATACATCAGTTTACTTAGGAAAATAAACCCAAAAACCATTCTGTAAGTTGGGAAAGCTAAACCCTATAGGGTTTAGGGTTTGCATTTTACGACGAATTTACGACGAATTCCAAATAATCGTCGTAAATTCGTCGTAAAAGTCAACATATGTCCAAGTCAACACTTTAACAAATTTTCATCAACATTTAATTAGTCTTCATTAATTGGCTTTAATTTTTGAAAAATTTAAATTTGACAAATGTTACATTGAAACGTTCAAAGCATGCAATTAAATGTCAACATATTTAATTAGTCTTCATCAACATTTTCCTCGGTGTCCTCATCATCATTGTCATCATCATCACTGCTTGTTTGAAATTCGTCAGCACCTTCTTCAGTTTCGTCCCCATGTAGATCTTCAACTTGTCGATTACGTGGATCAATTAAAAGAACATTTTCTTCAACATCCGGTTCTGTAATGTCCACACAATCATCTTGTTGCATTGGCGGGAGATCTACACCATCAATTATACCCCTTGGAGCAACTTTGACAACTGCCAGCCATGAAATTCCCGTATTCCAAACTCGAGGATATGGAACAAAGGTGACTTGTTCTGCTTGAGATGCAAGTATAAAAGGCTCGAACTTATTGTATCGCCGAGATGCGTTTACATCTACCACTCCGAATTTGTTAATTCGCACTCCACGACCTACCGTAGGATCAAACCAATCACATTTGAATAGAACAGTTTTCATTCTGACTAAACCAGGGTATTCCACTTCAATTATCTCTTTGATGATCCCATAAAAGTCTACTTCACCTCGTACACAAACTCCATAGTTTGTAGTTGCCCGTTGAGTGCCATGACTATAAGTATGAAAAACAT